AAGTTGTGTCATATATAAATATAAAGATATATTATGTTTCGCCCGAACTCCGCCTGTACAGGGACACTCCCGACCTGAGTGTAACTTCCTGTTCCTGGTGGTACCTCGTCTGGCTGCCCTCGGCAAGAGTCCCGCTTCCGTGCCAGCGCGCAGCGCTCGGCGTGGCGGCGCGCTCCTCTCGCCTCGAGTCCTGGAGGCGCTCTCGGCGGGGGCTGTCTGGGCCATCTTGGTTGGGGCTGCGCCTAGGGTTAAGTCGGGCGCGTCCCTCTACAGGAAGGAAGAATATTCAAAAATAGTGAGGGCACCTTTTTTTTGTGTGTATATATATATATATGAATTGAGCATTTTGTTTGTTTGTTTATTTGTTTGTTTGTTTGTTTGTTTGTTTGTTTGTTTTGAGCATTTTTCATTTCTCGTCCAATCTCCGCCTGTAGGAGGACATGCCTGACCCAAGCCTAGGGACAGGGGCCCGTACGGCAATACGTTCACCCGGATGTCATGAGAGGTGTATGGGGGGCGTTTTGAGGACTCGCGGACGCCCCACCAGGCAGCCCTGGGCAGTCTACCGCGCCTCAACGTGCCAGGGGGCACGGCGGCGAACAACACTCGGCGCAGCGCTATCCCTCGCGAGCGCTGACAGCATATCAGCATTGTCGTCGTCGTCGTCGCATCGTCGCCTGTCACTGTCACCATCACCACCGTCGCCACCACCACCATCATGGTCACCTGTTACCCCGTTCGCTGCCACCCGCGTCACCGTCACCGTCCTCGTGGTCGTCGCTGTTCAACCGGTGTGCCTCTCGCAGCTGTTTTGGCTCGAGCCGTTTTGAGCATTCGATCCTGGGTTCCTACCCCTGCCACCTATCGTGCCAGGGGTGGCCTTGGCCCAAGTGGTACCCAGGATCTTCGGGGAGGCCCCATGGCCTCCAGAGCACCCCTCACGAGGCCCAGAGGGCCCCAGGCGCTGTAATAGGGCACGAACAGCTGGGGCCACCTTGGGCCAGGGGCAGCTTCCCTGAGATCTGACGTTGCCCCCAAGAATTGCAGCATCGCGAACAATCACGACCTGTGCTCCAGACCCGATCTTCCTGCGGCATGTTTCCAGCCGCATCGAGTCGTGAGGGTCCCGGGGCCCGAAACCCAGAGAAACCAGCCAGTGTGAAACATTTGCGAGCCCCAGATCTCAAGATATCGATACCGCTACTCCCCAGACTTCGCCCAGGATGCATTCTGACCAGAATTTCGAGGAGAATCCGGCCGTGTCGACGAGGGCCCTCCAGGACGAGGAGCGGCATCGGTACCTTGAGACCTGGGTGTTGCAGCGCCCAGATCTCAAGGGGGCCTGCAGGGGCGCCTTTGGTTCGGATGCAACTTCTGGGAGGTCAAATTCTGACTTTGCCCTGGTCCGAAATCCGGCCTAGTCCGGCTTGATCCCGCTTATTCTGGCGCAGTCCCGCTTAGTCTGGCTGAATCCCGCCGATAATCCGCGGCCTACTCCGGCGCCGCAGCACCCCAAGGGGGCTTCATCCTCTTGAAATCCTTCCGACGGAGACCTCCCAGAGGTTGCCTCTTACCTTTGGCAGCCCCCAGATCTAGCACAGGGCACTGCCGGCACCCAATCGAAGAGAAGGAAGAACGGTGTAGACATGAGCTTTCTGCGCTCCGCGCGGATTTCTTGGATCCGCGCTCCCCCCGGCGGCACCTCCAGCGCCGCCCCTGGCGCGCTCCGCGCGCTCGGGAGGGGGGCCCAGCGCAGATCCAAGAAATCCGCGCGGAGCGCCAAGAGTTTCTCTTTACAGTGGAGACCCATGCCAAGAAACACCCTGCTCTCCTCCTCCTCCTGTTCCCCCTCCTCCTCCTCCTCCTCCTCCTCCTCCTCCTCCTCCTGTTCCTCCTCCTCCTCCTCCTCCTGTTCCTCCTCCTCCTCCTCCTCCTCCTCCTCCTCTTCTTCCCTTCCTCCTCTTCTTCCTCTTCCTCCTCCTCCTCCTCCTCCTCCTCCTCCTCCCCCTCCTCCTCCTGTGCCAAGAAACACCCTGCTTGCCTCCATGGTGCCCTGGGTTTTTTTGGTTTCGATGGCTTTGCCGCGGAAGGCGCGGCGTTCCCACACCAAACATCCATGGACGTCCTGGGGTCTCAGGGTTGGGTTCCTTGTGGAAGGTTTCTTGTGGACTGTCCTCCACTGTATGTAGGAGAACGAACAATGACATAAACGTAAGAACTCAGAGGTCCGCGCGGATTTCTCGGATCGGCGATCGACCCCCCTCCCTGGCGCGCGGAGCGCGCCAGGTGCGGTGCCGCAGGGACGCCAGGGGGCCCCAGCGCCGATCCGAGAAATCCGCGCGGCTTTCCGAGTTTCTATATTTATGTAATTCTGCGTTCCCCTAGTATGTATGCCTTTTTTCCTTCTTCTGCGCAAATAAATGGCCGCCCAGTTGTCCCTGTCGCCCACGGCGCTGGGGCACAGCGCCTCGTCCCCGTGCCTCTCGCGCCCCTCCTCGAGGTGCGCACCGCCGGAACGCGTGTCCACGTCCACAGCCTCGGAGTGGGGCCCTGGGACCTCGAGGACCCCTCGGGGGAGTTGTTTACATGGGTGATCTCTTTATTTATATGTGTGCATCCACACATATATATATGTATATATATAAAAATGTTTGCACATGAATATTCATACACGTACCACCACCATCATATATATATATATATATATATATATGCATGTACCATTTACACATGAATGGACATACATATAGATGTTACCTATATATATATATATATAGATTGCAACCGCAGGACACGAACATAAAACCGATAAACCGATAAACCGATCAACCGATAACCACTAAACCGACTCATCGCATGCGTGCCCGAATCTCAGCACAGCTTGGTTTTATCAGTTTATCGGTTTATCGGTATATCGGATGTTTCAGTTTATCGGTTGATCGGTTGATCGGTTTATCGGCCCGGCGTTGTCGTGGTTGTCCAATGGGTAATCCTTCGAAATTCTCTCCCCTCTTCCTCCTAGTCCTCCCTTTCCTCTTCCTCCTAGTCCTCCTCCGCCTCCGCCTCCTCCTCCTCCTCCTCCTCCCTCTTCCTCCTCCTCCCTCCTCCGTTCCGATCCTCCCTCCCTCCCTCCCTCTCCTCCCTCCCTCCCTCACTGGCCCCGACGCCCATGGTTCTCCTAGTCCTCCCTCCCCCTCTTCCTCCTAGTCTCCTCCGCCTCCCCTTCCTCTTCCTCCTAGTCCTCCTCCGCCTCCGCCTCCTCCTCCTCCTCCTCCTCCTCCTCCTCCTCCTCCTCCTCCTCCTCCTCCTCCTCCTCCTCCTCCTCCTCCTCCCTCCTCCGTTCCGATCCTCCCTCCCTCCCTCTCCTCCCTCCCTCCCTCACTGGCCCCGACGCCCATGGTTCTGCGCGCACAGGGCCGCGGCCCCCGTGAGCCCCTTCTCGGCGTTCCAGCTGACCACCATTCCTGGGGAGTTCGTCCTCCCTCCCTCTTCCCCTCCTGCCCACACTCTCACATCCGTCCCCCGTTCCCCTCCCTTGTTCCCCTCCCCTCCCTCTTTCGGATTGGGGGATTTCGAATTTCCTGTCTCCTCCTCTCCCAGGCCCAGTGCCCAGGCCCATCCAGAAACAAAAACTGGAAAGGGGAGAGGGCGGGAAGGAGAGATGGAGGGAGGGAGGGTTGGATTCGATTCGGGAAAGGGGCATTTGAGAAAAGAGGGGATGGAGGGGTGGAGGGAGTAGGGACGGGGGAGGGGGATTGGAGTTGGGAAGGAGGGATGGAGGGAGGAGTGGCGGGGGGAGGGCGGGGTTTGTGGGAAGCAAAATCTGGCGGGGCATTTCGGGCTAGGACGTTTGCGGTTTCTACAGCGCTTTGGCGGGGGTGCCTCCAGCTCCCCCTTCCTCTCCTTCTCTGGGCTTTGGGGGGGTTGCATTTCCCCTCTCCTCCTCCCCCATCCTCCTTCTCCTTCCCCCCTCGGTCTTAGCCGTATCAGGTTATCACTGTGGCGCGAGCTGCGGCGAAAGCTGCTGGCGTCGCGTATCCTATTGCGGATCCGGGCGCAACTCTCAGCCATGCGCGGCGCCCCGTATGATAAACCACCCGGGCCTTTAAACCAACGAAACGTCATCGTCTGCTCTTTGTGCGACCGGCGAGTCGGGAAGCCATGCTGGGCCGCCCATGTGAGGGATTGTGTCAGCGCTTCCGCTGCGCTCGCGGTTGAGCCGCAGTGGTTGGGCCTTGATCCCAACCGTGCGCCAGTTCAGTTTGTTGCTCAAGGACTGCCTGGTGCCCTTTGCGCCGATATGAAGATAGCGGGGGATAAACTGAAACAGTGTTACCTCCGGATGGGGCAAGCCTTCGTGCTCGACCCCCACATCAGCGGGGCTTGCTACACTTGCGGTTGGAGCTCCTTCAAAGGTGCGTGGATGGGGCCCGAGGGTTGCAGCGTCGGCGCGCTGTTCCTCTGCGCCGCGTTCATCGACTCGCTGTTCGAGACGAAGGCTTTGACGGACGCGGCGCAATTCATGACCAACATGGGCGTGGATTCTAGCAAGCGCTTGCCACATTCCCGTTATCTGGCCCAAGGCGGGAGTGCGTTCGTGCAGCGGGGTGAGAATTACTGCCGTTCCAAGCGGCCGGCGCCCGGTGAGCCGCGCGTGGTTCACGTGCCACCGGCCGTGACTTCTTCCAGACACTGGCGGGCGCACTCCGCATGTACGACGCAGTGTGCGACCTGCTCTAGCCGCGGGCGTGCGTCGTGCGAACATTGCTGCTTGCGCAATTTGCGATTCGTGTTCAAGTTCGCAGTGGCTGCGCTGTGCCAGTCTGACAGAACGCCCGCGAGTTCCCAGGTGCGCTTTGTGCTCGGGCACAGGTCGTTCCGAATCCTCGGCGGCCTCATCGTAGTTTTCCCGCCGTCGGAAGAGTTCGGCATCTGGGCGCCGCCGCGCGTGGGCGGCGACAAGTGGCCTTGGATAAGCTTTATTGTATTCGGCGACTAAGCGGCGACTCGGCTCCGACCCCTGCCGCTTGGCGGGGGCTGCGCGCAGCCATGCCCGCGGGTTCGGGCGCGGTCCGGCGGCGGGGGCCGCCAGCGCGGCGACGGGGGCGTCCTGGGCGGCGAGAGCTGCCTTTGATCCTCGCTCAGCGGCGCGAGCGGTCCGGCGGCGGGGGCCGCCCCCGCCCGTCGCTCGCGCGAGCGGCCGGGGCATTTTTAAGAGGCGGTTTGCGCGGCGAGAGCTGCGCCGCGTCGCTGGCGCGCGCGGGCGCTGTTGAGCGGCGAGAGCTGCAAGCGCGGCGACGGGGTCCTGGGCGGCGAGAGCTGCCTTTGATTCTCGCTCAGCGGCGCGAGCTGCCCGCGCCGTGGAGCGCGCGGTGAGAGCTGCCCCCGACCGTCTGGCATTGGACTGGTGGCGATTGGCTCCGTCTGCTTTCTCCTCCCCCTCCTCCTCCTCCTCCCCCTCCTCCTCCTCCTGTTCCCCCATGTTCATCCCCCGTCCCCTTCGTCTTCCCCCTATCCTCTTCTTCCTTCCCCCCTTCCCTCCTCCCCCCCTCCTCCTGGGGCCCAGGGGATTGGGCGAAGGACCTGAGGGCGCGCCCGCTCCGTGCCCGGAGGCGCGGAGGCCAAATCTGGCCGGGCATTTCGTCGCCCGCATGTGGTGCGAAAACCAGGGCATGGCGGCGGGCATTTGGTGTGATAGCCAGGCTGCGTGGGTCCCCCACCGCGGGTCCACGTCTCATCTCTCCCCTCCCCTCCCTCTTTCGGATTGGGGAATTTCGAATTTCCTGTCTCCTCCTCTCCCAGGCCCAGTGCCCAGGCCCATCCAGAAAGAAAAATTGGAAAGGGGGGGGGGCGGGAAGGAGAGATGGAGGGAGGGGGGGTTGGATTCGATTCGGGAAGGGGCATTTGAGAAAAGAGGGGATGGAGGGGTGGAGGGAATAGGGATGGGGGAGGGGGATTGGAGTGGGGAAGGAGGGAGGAGTGGCGGGGGGAGGGCGGGGCTTGTGGGAAGCAAAATCTGGCGGGCCTTTTCGGGCTACGTTTTCGGTTTCTACAGCGCTTTGGCGGGGGCGCCTCCAGCTCCCCCGCCCTCTCCTTACCATCCTCCTTCTCCTTCCCTCTCCTCCCCCCCCATCCTCCTTCTCCTTCCCCCCTCGGTCTTAGCCGTGTCATGTTATCACTGTAGCGCGAGCTGCGGCGAAAGCTGCTGGCGTCGCGTGTCTTATTGCGGATCCGCGGCGATAGCTGCAGATCTGCGGCCACCCGCGCTATTGCGGATCCGCGGCGATAGCTGTAGATCGGCATGGCCGCTTCTTGCGCCATCTGCAAGCAGGAGCTCGAAGATGGCGAGGAGCTCGTCCGCCTGGGTTGCCTGCGCGGGCCTTGCCGCGAAGAGTGCGTCAACGCACACGTGCAAGTGGACGGCCTGGACTTCGCCAATTTTCCATGCCCAGAGTGCAGGACCGCGGAGCGCCAGCTCCAGTCGATGGAGGCCGCCAGGTTGCAGCGGCAGCAGGTCGTCAGCAGCAGTGGGTCGTCAGCGGCAGCAGGTCGCAGGCGCGCGGCCGTCTTCCGGGCCCCCCTCACCCAGGGGGGGGAGCGCAGGATCACCAGGGAGAGCCGCCGCTCCAGGTCGCCGCCTCCCCGCGTCGTGGCGGATTCGCCCATCGTGCGGCCCGAGTCGCCCGGTGGGGCCATCGTCGCGGCCGCGTCGCCCATTGGCAGGGCCGTCGTCCCGGCCGCGTCGCCCATTGGCAGGGGGCTGTCGCAGTCCATATCCCCATCGCAGTCTCAGCCGTCGCGGCCGCAAGGCCCTGCCATCACAGATGCCGATTTCGGTTTCACGTTCACTGACAACGCGGCGGCTGGCGGTGACGGGGCCCCGGTGCCAGACCCGTCCTTGGCTGCTATTCGCGCTCTCGACGCCGTGCCGAATGCCGCCGCTTTCCGAACCGCCCTGCGTCCGACGGGCTTATTCAACGGCTTGCAGGACGAGCGGGGGGCCCGAGAGACAGCCAAGCAGTGGCTGGGCGAGATGCTGGCGGACCCTAGGGGCCACAAGGAGGTGGGAATGGATTCCAGCTTCTCAATTCGGCTCCTGCTCCCGCGCCCCTTCCGCGCAGCAGTCGTCGCGGTGGCTTCGCGCGAGGGCTGGCAGCCCGAAGCGCTCATGCAAGGTATCATGAGCAACGCGGGCTGGTTGGAGCACCACGCCACGGTGCTCAAGGAAACTGCGGATGAGGAGTTCCGGCGTACACGGACCCAGTCGGGAAGTTCGAGGATTACCTGGACCGCCAGGAGGAGCGCCCAGGGGCGCCAGGTGGCATCTGGGCCGTGCACGCCGAGGACGACGACCAGTGCCCGAGGCGGTGCGCCGAGGAGGCGCTGGAGGCATTGGGGGCCCGGAAGCCCGGAATGCGCAGCAGGGCTTCCCGCGGGCGCAGTGCACGTTGCTGCCGCCGGGCATCCCGCGGGCGCAGTGCGAGAACAGCGCGCTCTGGC